TTGGTAAAATGTTCTAAGATGAAAAATGGTGGTGAGAGGCGAGGAGGAAAATCTGATTTGGAGTGAAATAGTGAATTACAAGTTTGGGACATATTTCATCAAGTCAAACTTGAGGTAGCAACCGGTGAATTTTAATCAGAAATGTTAACATGGAGGCCAGGAGCGAGCTCCGTGGTCTGTGCACTGTGATTTTTATAACCGCCAATTTCTGGGCCTTTCAAAACTCACAGTGCTTGGTCTTTAGTAATAAGGACACACTAATAATGACATCTAATTAGTATTTCTTTCAAAGGGCATCTTACCCCATTTAAAAAACTTTAATTATAAAATGTCATGGCTTCTAAATAAGAGGAAGAGAGTCCACCTCTAAACGCTAGGATATTCCAAGGAAGAGTCTTCCTTTAAAAACTTTTCTCTTTTAAGTAATTTATTTTTCAGTTGACGTCCAATATATTAGTTTCAGGTATACGACATAATGATTAGACATTTACGAACTGGAAAAGTCTCTCTCTGAAAATACCATTAAAAAAAATTTGTTTGCAGTTGCAAACAAATAATAAGTCCTCAAAGAAAGCCCTTTTCTCACTTTTTTATCCAAGGAAGAAACTGAACGACGACGTGTAGGACTGAAGTGTGGAGAGGAACTGAATTAATGTTCAGAGCCACTATCTAGCTAGGCTCCCCTGCGATATCTTCTCTGGAATGTTCTGAAGCAGTTTCAAAATTAGATACTGAAGTCACTTTTTGTGGCTTTGCTGCCTATTTAACAACAGAGTTTTATTCATTAGCGGATGAAGAGGTACCCAGTTTTAATCTACTATCTAACAAAAAAGCAAAATTTTAAACATATTTAGTTTTAAATATTTAGTTAACTTTTAGTTTTGGCAAACTATGTACCCGTGTTACATTTCCATCATCCAAAAAAAAAAATCTCAGCTGTTTCCATTCAATCTCTCGCCATCCCCAGGCCACCACTGATTTATAGATTTTAGGTAGTACTCTTCTTAAATTACACTTAATTAAGCACATCCCAATTACACTACCTCAGTATACGGTTATAAGAGCTCATTTTTCGTTTCATTTTAGTGACATAAAGTAATGCACGTATTTCATCACGTGAAAATAAAATTCAACTTATCTTTAAATTGGATAGAAATACGGAGTCATTAAAGTTTGGGGAGCACGCAGGGAGGAAGGCCGGCCTGCCCAGGAGTCTTTGCAGCTTTTCATCTGCCCACACTGAACCCTGGGCCAGGGGCGGCCGGAAGGGACCGCGTGGCGAGGCCCACACGTGCCCCGGAGGCAAGTCAACCAACGGACCGCACCGCCCGGAGCTTAGACCACATTGCGGAGGAAGCTTTCTCAAAACACATGCTTTTCATGTCAGATCGGGGCCGACTGTAGGTGGCCGGCCCGGGGAGCCGGGAGCAGCCCGTGCCCGACCTGGGCAAGGTCGCGTGGAAGGCTCCCCAGTCATCCAACCGCGCTGCTGCAGTCTGCCCACGAATGAGCAAGCGCCTTCTAAAGTTGTACTAGCCCCTGCTCATCGCGGAGCGGGGACGGGCTGGCCGCCTGGCCGCGGGCCCCCTGCAGGGAGCAGGGCCTGCTGGTGGGGGAGGGGGCACTGCAGCTTCGCGCGCATCTCTCGCTTCCCTGCCCCTTCCTCCATTTTAGGAAGGGCCTGGCTTCCATGAGCACCCGGGTTAGGCCCGCAGCTCCCCCAAACCCTTAACGCCTCGTCCTAACTGGCCTGCGCGTTCGATTCCTGCACGCCTAGCAGTTATGTACCGTCAACCCGTCCTCCCGGGTTAATC